GTGACGGCATCCTCGTCACCGTTTTATGACGTCACCCTTCCCGAAACTGATAGCAATCGCAATGTCCATGTCGAAATTATCAAGATGGCCGAAGCAGCAGTGGAGAGACAAAATGAGAGATTTTATTGTCATGAGTGCAACAGAGAAGTCTCCCTTAATGTACAAGTACGTTTCTTTACATATTGATTTATTTACTTTGATTTTTCTCCATTTTAACCTTACGATCGTGCGGAAATGGACGCTCAATGTTGGTGAATTTAAGCTTAGTTACGTAGTTTCGTTTTTACTTTTGTCAATCATTTGCGCGTGAAATTGGCACTATTGACAATGGTTTGTATCAGGAGGGCTTGCTTCATTAGTTTATGATTTCGCGGAGGTATCAAGAGCTTACATAAAAGTCTTGGTCGGACTATAATTAAGGAAAATTCGTCTGCCATACCACCTTTATCCAAAGCGAAAATCGCTGTACGTCATTTACCCACATCACGAATCATTTTAACTTCCTCATGTTGCAAGTTATTCAATGGATTATAAACAAATCATCCAATCTTGTGCAAATTTGTAACCTGTAACATTGGCAAAGGTTCATCTTAAATCTCATAATAATTTATAACATACAAATTTAATTGCACAACGACTTTGTGGTAGCCTTGTGAACTGTGTTGGTGATTGCTTTTGTTAAGTTGACCAACATCATGCTTCTGGGAAGCTGTGTTTTATAGTAAGACCCTTGTACCAGGCATATCTAATCAATCATTCGGTAACAAAAATAAATCGAAGTTAATCGAATTTAATCAAATGATTACCTTTGACCGCTGATAAAGAAGGAAATGAAAAACCTTCAGCAAGTAAATCCTGTTTCGTCTTGAATTAATCGCCTCCTCATTTCTCATCTTATCTCCAAGCAAGCAAGACTTAACACCGATATTAAGAGTGTTCTTGTTATTCATAGGAAACAAAGGAAATTGAGAATCAACCTAGGTTAAATCAAAATTAACTCAGGGGCGGATCTAGGGGGAGGGTGCAGGGGGTGCGCGCACCCCCCCTTCCCCTCTGAGATAACCTGCAGATTTCTAATACAACTGGTATTCTGCAACAACAAAAAAATACGATGTGGTTTATTGGTGTTGAAGTAGAGCAAGAGACGAGTGCTCCCCCTCCTAAAAAAATCCGGGATCCGCCCCTGTAACCTAAAATCAAATTTGACCTGTAACATATATACACATATCAGTCTTTCTCAGACCAGATCAAGGCTATGATTTGGATGTAGTCAACAATTTGTGTGAAGTTAAATCAAACAAAATCGAATGGTTCAGTTCGATTATGTTCGACTTGTTCGATAATCAAACTCACGAAGAAAACCGTGGTTGATTTTATTCAATTGCTGAAATACAATATTATTGAACAATTACCTGCAATTGAATTTGATAGACATTTTGTTGGGTTTTGTTTGATTAGATATGCCAGGAATCTAACATCAAAGCACAGGTCTATTTACCGTATTTATTCGATTAACCGCCCTGGGCTCTTATTAAATTTTTGGACCTTGAGAGTGGGCGCTTATTCGAGGCTGGGCGCTTATTAAATTTCCACTATTTTCAGCAAGTGTAGTATGTTTATTTTGTAACAAATCAAAAAAAGGTAATAACAAAACGCGAAGATATAACAAAGCAAGTTTCTGTAAAATACTCTGAAGAAAATTCCGTCTTCGGGGAAGTCTCTTATTAGTACTTATTCATTTTGTTGGGTGGGAGGGGGAAGGGTGGTGGGTTTTGGTTGTGGGCGCTTATTAACTTTTTCTGCCTTTAGGATGGGCGCTTATTCGAGGTGGGTGCTAATTTGAGGTTGGGCGCTTATTCGAATAAATGCGGTATCACAAAAATTTAATGTTTTTAATCAGTTAAGAGTTTGTTCTGTCAAAGAAGGGTAAGACAATCGCCAAACCTTCCCATGTATCAATCTTGACCCAGAGCTGGACAGGGGTTAGACAGCTTGCTTGCAGACTAAACCCAATCCAAATTAGTGTTCTCAAAGAATGACTGAGGCAGACAGTTCCACTGAATGGTTGTTCGTGGGTAGAATGAGAGATAATGAGAGGAGGTACTGGTAGATAAAAAAAAATGAAGCTGTAGCTGTGAGAGTGCCGGGATCTTCAGAGTTGGATGTCTCAGGTACTCTCTGGCGTCGACTGGTACGAGTCCATTGTAGATCTTGAAATTTTAAGGAGTGCAAGCCGTACGTCAGCTCTCCTCTGCTCCAGAGTTCTCCAGCCCAGGTCATCTAGCACATCAGTGACACGAGAAGTGTCATGGTATCTCCTTAAAGTCTACCTTGCGGCATGCCGTTGAACCATCTTGACCCTATTGGCTCCATTGTTTTCAACATTTGGTCTGGGGTCCCATATTGTAGAGCGATATTCAAGTTGGGGGCGTACAAAGCCCATAAATGCCTTCTCACGTAATAAACTATATACATATAAGAATAGTTACTAAAATTTAATATTAGACAACAGAACCTCATACAATATGTGTGCTGGACCACTCCAAACACACAATTTGTAGGTGTGCAAAAATTTTCTAGAGGGAGAGGAATTTGTCCACTTTTTAAATCTCCTTTGTATAAGAAATACATCAGCCTGAAAAAGAATGTTCAGCACACACCACTCAAAGTAACAAATGCATGGAAACCAATGATCTTTTTCTTATTTTGTCAGGATTTTACCTGCTCACAGTGCCAAGGAGAATTTATTGAACAACTAAGTGACAGGTAATAATTTATATTCTTAAAAAATTAATAGCTGATACCTGGCATTAAACTATACCGTATGCAGGTCCCAGTGGACCAAAATCTCTCACAGTAGTGAAGTAGTCACTCATTTAAAATCTTAACTTCATTGTTACACCTTCCTTGAAGACCTTATGAATATTTGAATTTAGTGTATACCAAGCCATAAACATCAATCCGTGACAGTGATGATGAGCACTATATATTTCCACATATGTCATTAAGAAAATCTTTCACTGGATGTCATCTTTGATCTCAAATATACGTACGTGTATATGTTGCAGGTCAAAATTAAATTCAGATTAAAAATTTTTAACCTGTCTATATAATTTTGAAATGTAACATATAAATATTGTTGATAGTCTCTTGTAGTGTCTTCAAAGTTTACTCTTAATGACTAATGTTTTGATATTGGCTGCCACTTTAAAATATTTAGGAACCAACAAATGGCTCCTAGAAAAAAGTGAATTTCATGCCCTGGACTGATACAAAATGGGAATGAGCACTGTAAACCTTTTTACTTTTTTGTTGCTGCCATCACCTTTGTTTTGGGTGTCATGTGGTAACAATGATTTTGCTATTTATATTTTTGTGAGATTTTCAATCATTGGTACAAAATATTCGTTATTCACCATCACTTTTTTCACTATTTTGATAATAATTTCATTTTAGCCCAGAGGAAGAAGATAGTTTTACCGATGAAAGAGACCCTGCTGCACATTTTGCAGAGGTTTGTATTTTATTATCTAATTAATTATTAGCCTGAGAAAACAGCCGATATTTTGCGATGCCACCACTGGTCTGCTTGTAGAATGTTGTCTGAGAAACAGGTGCAGAAATTCCACACTGATGAGGTGTCACATCTGGGTAGTGCTTCTGATTGGTTGAAGCAAATTTTCCATGCGGTACCACCAATCAGAAACACTACCTAGATCTGGGTAGTGACACATCATCAGTATGGAATTTCTGTGCTTATTCCTCAGACGTCACTTCATGGAGAAGCCATCACTGGCAGGGTTTTCAGGAAGAGCCAGTGGCTGGTGAAATTTGCCGGCTATTTCATGTGAACTTGCGCCAACTTTTCTTTGGAAATTACCGCAGTTTAAATAGAGTATTCATGTGCTGTCACTGAATAAAAAAGCCAAAATTTAATGATGTCTGTGTTCTGTTCAAGCACTCTAATTTTTGCTCCAGAATGCTGGAAATGCACTCTAAGAGGCGTAGATTTCAATTTTTTTCCAGAAACTCCTGCCTTTTCTGCAAGTTTTTTCTACTTCTCCACCTACTCCAAAGCTTTTGCCATCTACTTAAAACCTTATTAAAAACCCTGAGTGGTGTCGGAAAATGTCAGCTGTTTTCAAGACACAGTTAGGTTACTTTAAAATCATTTGAATCTGAACAGCACTCCAGTAATCACTGATTATTACCAGCCCTAATGCAATACTTTTTTTCTAAAACCAGTGAATCTTAACAAGAACATGCCAAATAGAAGATAAAAAGTGAAAAATCTATATTATTCATGGTTACCACTGGTCAAGAAATGGTCAGGGAAAAAAATTTTTTTTAAGGTCAGGGAAAGTTTCAGGGAATTTCAGTTTGATAGTTTAAATGTATGAAAGAAATCAATTGAAAATGAAATTTTAAGAGTACATATTTATTCTTTTCCCTTTACATTTATTGTTTTCTTATAAAATTATTTGAAATTTTTTTCTACATTTTACGGACATGAATCAGGTTGTAGTGTTGTTCATTGTCGATTGTTATTGTTGTTAATTTATTGTTCAAAATTGAACCACAAGTTACATCAAGGAACTATCAATTCATATTCACTGTACGTGACTTGCTGAAAGTATAAATAAATGAGTGGAGAGGATGGCTGTGAGGGAAGAGTAGAGGTATTATCAGGACTAATAACTGGGAAATTGGTTAATTCAGGTGGTCAAAGAATGTTACATTTGTCAGGGAAAAGTCAGGGAAAAGTCAGGGAATTTAAGAAATCTGTGGCTGTGGCAACCATGTTATTACATTACTGTTGTAACTTGGCCTCGATTGTGACCTCCTCAGCTCTGATACCATTGTGGTAGTGACGCTTCCAGCACATGCAAAGCATGCACCAGCAGAATCTCATAGCTAAGAAAATTTGATTACCTATCCATCCAAGAAGTTTTGGTGGTCACTTGATTGCTGTCTGTCCATCCTTCTGTCCATCCACCCATCCATCTGCATCTAGCTAGTGTGGGAGCTTGCAACCTGATATTGCTTGTCCATTATGTGGTCAATTGATCAACTGATCGCAAGCTCAACTCCAAATAGATTTCTTTGCGATGGTTACAAGTTTATTGTTTGAAGTAAATTATAAATTTCTTAATGGAAGCTTTGATTTTGTCCTTGGCTAAATTTATATATTACTAAGGTCGTTATTATTAGGAGTTGTCACAATGAGTCTGTACTTGAGTACATGTACATGTAGTTTACTTGTGGAGATATCAACATTTTTTACATGTAAATTGCACTACCTGTGAAGAATGTGTTACCTTTTGTCTTGAACTATTTAGTTAATATTAAACTTCTTTATATTTTCCAGATTCTTCAGAGAGGTTTGTTAGGTGGACTGGCAGCAGGTAACTACAAATACTTTTTCTTTCCCTCATGTTCAAAGACAGTCATTAGGAGACGAATATTTAGCGGGTGTGGTTTGGGGTGATTTCAGGAAAAAATATTCTGAAAACAATAGCCATATTAACACCAAAAAACAGGGGAAAACTGATTTGATAAGGTGTGGATAAAATTCTAGCCTAAACTAAATCAGCAAGACTCGAAAAAGGATGGAAGAAATCTCACCTTATGTACCTATAAGCCTTCATAGCTTCTTGAGACTTCCTTGCCTTTTATTCGTATTTTACAATTTATAGAAATTATTATGTAATAAAGGCAAACCTTTATAATAACCTTTAGAACAAAATTTAGTTTGATAGACACTGTATTTAAAATCATCAGTGCCAATTAAAACAAAATCTAAATGTAGATTGCATTTAGAAGTAAAAGACAAATTGATTTAAGGTTTAATAGTTTATTATGGCTTTTCTCAGCTTCTGCTGAAGAGCAGAGATTGAGAAGATCTCGAAGACCTCCAAGGACAAGAATAAGTATTCGGACTAACAGAGGGGGGGACAGAGGAGATGGAACAAATGCTACAACTGCAGCAGCAATCGATGTGTAAGTTAGCTTGATTGTGAGTTTAATTTTTGAATAGTATGTTAGTAAAGCTGAACGAACTCAAGATGCAGTTATCTTGGCAGATAATAATTTTGTATGTTTTGTTGACTCAAGCAAGACACTTCTTTAGACATGGTTGTCAATTTAACTTTTCAAATCTTGAAAAAAATCCTTGAAAAGTTCCCATCCCTCCATCCCAGCCAAGGGAGGTTATTCTTATGTGCAGTACTTGTAATATGATCAGCTAATGGCTGAAATATAATTTATACAAGTTTGTTTAGCTCAGATTCTTTTCTTCGGAAGGGAAGGGACTTAACAGGACGCATTTTGAACGGCCAGTTTTGTCTGGCTTGGTTCAGCAAAAGTAACAAGTCGAAAGAGTAAACTAGAAGAATGTTGAAAAGTTGAAACAAAGTTCAGGGAAGAAGGATGTGTAGGAGGGTTTCCCTTTGTTTCATTTAGTAACTTATAATGCTACTGCTTCAGAATTAGTAAACTCAAAAAGACCTTTTAAACTGTAACAGGAAATTAAAGTACCTAATTTTGTGCTTAAATCTTTTTATCTGCATGTACCTTTGTACTTTTTAAGTATTGCTGTATTGAGTGATGTCATGTTCTTCTTTTAGAATCCTACAAAATCTGTTTGGAAGTATAGGAACACAAGGTATTTTCATTGATAATATTCTAAGATGAATATATTTTTAATATTCAGCTTTTCTTTTTTCTTTTGGTTCAGAAATAATGGTCTTTTTATACAAGGTGAATCCAGGGTAGTGCTCATGATTAGTGGCTAACATTTGCCTTTGGGCAGGGTCTTGGGCTCCTCCTAAATTTTTCTTACAGCCAAGCTCTGCTCTCCAGTTTCCACTGTATACAGTCATATTACTTTTCAGACAAATAATGAAATATATTAACTGTCTCCAATTTGCTGCAATTTTTGTTGGGTGGAGACTGTTTATCAAGACGTTGACAATGAGTTTAGTCATCTATGAAAGGAGATTTAGTTGTACAAAATAATATATTATGGGGGGACACAAATAACATTGCACTGGAACAACATATGCATTTATGTACTCTCTAATCCATATATTTTATGCACTTTGTGCAGTGAAACCTCCATGTGCGACCATCTCTCATAAGCATCTACCTGTGCAAAGCATTAAAATCGCTCCAATCAGATCAGAGAAACCTCTCTTACTCCCATTCACCCCTGGGAATTTTGCCAAAGAACACGTTTTGAGGCTAGTCAAGCGGGTTCCTAGTCACCTCATGTCTGGCTATAAAGAGCTTAAAATTGCCATAAAACAGTTTACAATAAATTCGTACACATTTTAGCCTTCTTTGTGATCCAGATGGAATTAGCTTGTGAAGTTCGGGCATGCACAGAAAGCAAAATTTCAAGATAGTTTTGGGGTTTAAAAGTGGCACAGCAGTGTTGACTTTTTCTTTTAGCATCTTCTCCCCCTCTTCTTTTGCTTTTTTTACCTCACTTTTTTTCCTTTTGCCGGGCATTTAGTAGGAGTTATTGGCAGTTCAGGGTCAAATGGGTTAAATGGCAACCTCCCATAAGTCACCGCAGCAACTTTCTGGGTTGACTGTTTTATAATTTCCCATTGTTTTTAACCTCTGTTAAGCAACCATGGTCTGCTCTCTATGTTTTCTATAATTATGCATTTCACTGCTCAAGATACACAAAGTACTTTTTGTGACCTGATAGAACTTAACATGTTGTGGCTTAGACATTGCATACATAAAATAAAGTTGCTTACAAAAAGTAGATGTGACCTGAGCTCCTCTTAGAAGAGCCCCTGTGGTTGGATTGCTGTGAGTGATCACTACTTCATTGTAAAATTCTGGGTGGTCACCTATGGCCAGTTCAGCTGTACATTTTGTATGTCAGTTTTTCCACAAATCTAGATTTTATTTAGTGCAATATGTTTATAAAGTTCCTGTATGAGTGGAACTGATGATTTTCATCCTTTTTCAGTCTCTTTTTTTTTGGAAATTAGTTTGTGTTGTTCAATTCAGCTTTTAATGCTGGAGTGATATAACATGTCAACATCAAAGGTGTTGAAAAGAAGCCCCCGCTTAAAATTATGACTGAGTTTTAATATTATAAGCACTTGCAGTATTTAATTGAGAAACTGTTGTATGATGAGATAGTATTGCTGCTGACTGTGAATGACTCCATTGTTTGTTTCAGGACCTACAAGTGAGGATGGAGCAGGTCCCTCGGGTAATTTTGCATTTCCTTTGTAAGTATCTGAGGTCTATAATTTGTCTCACATTATAGACATTGAATCATTGTAAAAGTTATTAAAATTATCTCTCTTGGTTCTCAAGGGCTTCAATTGCAATACCATTTTTGATGATAATCAAAGGAATAGTGATGACAATGACACCGGCACATATGTATTCTACATGAAACTCTTCTATTAAAACTGGCCTGAGCAATCAGTATATGAGAATACTGCTTCCTGATTCATCAATTCTTTACTCAAGGGTTAGGTGGATAATTTTGCCCTGAAAGAAATACAATACAGCATGTAGCACATATACTAAGCTCCCCATGTATTGGAGACAGTATTGGCCAGTGTTGGTTATTTTTTAATAATAATGCATGACTGTGCCTCCAGAAAATATCTGTGCACTGCTCAGAAAAGAGAGGTTGTAAGGTGAAAAGTTGGTTGTTGTGTCTCCAGAACCAGTGTTGTTCATGTAAAGTATAATATGAATAAAACTGAGATTTCCATGGGATTAGTAGGTAAGAATGTTTTCTGGAACTATTGCTTAAGTTTGTACTGTAATACATGTACAAACAACATCATTATTGTAATGTTGGGAACACAGTACTCGTGTTTTCATCCTTGCCACCTAAGTGACTTGCTGTCTCTCTTTTTTTACCATTTAGTAACATCCTCCGTCTCCATGGCAACCCTGGTGATTATGCGTGGGGTACAGAAGGATTGGATTCAATAATAACACAGGTCTGTGGCTGCATTGCTCTTGCAATTATCTAGTCAAAGTATCAAGCTTTTAAGGGTATGCTAATAAGCAGTAATGAATTACCAAGATTTTATGCTACTGGTAGTATTACACATGATATTTTAGCAATTACGTGTACATGTAAGGTTATTGTCTAAACTATACCAGAAAACACAAAAAGCTATCCAGTAGAGTATTAACAGTAATGGCCTGGAGCTGGAACAAGTCATTCACACACATTGGACATCATAGCAGAGTGGTTAGCTAAAAGAGTTTGGTTCACTTCATCCCATAAAATCCTGAAAATTTTCTTCTGTCTGAGTGGGTTCCAGTCCTTGCTCCTTCTTTTTCAGTTCTGCTACAGTCTGAACACCTGTTTACACTGCTCCAAAGTGTGGTACAGAACCTATCCCATATATGGAGCTCCATTTTCATGCCCAAAAATCAAATCAAAATCAAAATCATGCCCAAATCACCCGTCTTATGTCTTAACAGGGGCCCTATTTAGTTAGGTTATTGTTTGATGTCATGTGGCATTTTTGTTACCAATGAGCAGGGTGTTCATTAGGCATCAGAGATCAGAGAAATCCTGGTTTACTACACAGAATTCTCCGGCTAATGGCGATAGCATATGACTATTTTGTATTCAGACTTGGAGCCTCTTTCACAATATTCTCCTGTAAATTTTCACCTTTCTCCTGCTACAAGAATTCTTAGTGAAAACCGTGAATGAGTGACTGTGTGTGTGTGCGTGTGAGTGTTGGGAAATAAATACCATCTATAATCAGTGTTGACTATTTTGTATTCATTAATGTCCATTTTTCTGAATTATTATGAACAGCTTTTAAACCAAATGGAAGGAGCTGGACCACCTCCTGCAGACTCAGAGAGAATAGAAACACTTCCAAAAGTAATAATTACACAGGAATTAGTAGGTGAGTACAGCCTGTCTTTGAATGAATTCTATTGCAGACTCTCTCAATTTATTTCTTTATACAGTCAAACCTGTACATGTATATAATGGTCACTCCCCGGAGGGGGGGGGGGGTACTGCCATATATGGGCTATAGAGGTATGTGCCGCTGTAAAGGGTATGGTTTTCAAGCAGTTTACGCTAGGATAGGGTATATAAATCAGAGCATTTGGGTCTTGAATAGGGTATCATTTTTCAGGAAACTGATCAGTTGGTTGAAGATTTTATCTAGACTAGGGATTGTGGTATAAGGTTTTGTTTTGGCTAGACCACTGTGCTAGTGACCTCAGTAGTTTCTGGAAAACAGCTACTCTAGGATAGGAGGGATTTGGGGAGTTTGCTATAGTACAGGGTAGCAAAATTCAGCTGAACTAGCTCTGGTATAGGTTAAGGGTTCCAGGGTCCCAGCGGCACATCCCCACCAAGAAATTCCTAAAGTATCCCCCCAGGGGGTCACCCTCAGGAACTGGCCAGTTGTCCGTTATAAACAGGGTGACTGCTATACACAGGTTTCCTTATAAGTGTACTGGAAGCTAATGAATAATTCTTTTATGTAAGAGATAAAGCCCGAGAACGGAGGTATTAAGCCATATACATCCCGAGGGCCGTAGGCCCGAGGGATGTATATGGATTAATACCAACGTTCGAGGGTTTTATCTAACTTATTTCATGATATTATTCATGAGGTATAGGTTACATAAAGGTCGTCTTCACAGGGCAATAATTGGCCACTTGTTTTTGACATCTGTTTGTTTGTCATTTTTTGATCCGACCACAGACCATGACGTATTTCATTGTAAGTATTGTAAAGGTTTTCACACAGCATCGAGAAAGGGCGTTTCACGGGTCATAATTTGTTCAAACCACTTGTTCTCACTTAGGTGAGAAACGGAGAACAATAGCGCATTGTTTGTTTGCTAAGCCGACAACAGTCAAATTTCAAACCTTTTGTGTTTTTTTATTTTTGTCTTGGTATTTTTTGGGGGGCCAGTACACTTGTGAAAGCGGCAATGGATAGTGACGACGAAATTTTCCAAACGCAAATACTTTCTCTCAGGAGCCTTTTTTCCCTGAGTTGAATTTGGAAGAGTTAGTGGGAGACTTTAGAGAAGTAAGCAAACGAGATAGTGTTGAAGTCGAAAAGAAAGAAAATCCTGGGCGTAATATCGTTGTTGTTTGTGATAACGCTGATAAAGCTGATATTTTGCATTTGAAACAGAAGGCTGCAAAGGGCTTGACTTATAAACAACATTTTTACTTTTATGACTTTAAAATAAAGGTATGCTGTATTTTTTTTCATCTAGATGCCTGTGTGGACTGTGCTGTTTGCCAAGAAAAGTTTTCATTAGATGAAGAAGTTAGGCAATTACCATGTAAACATTATTATCATTTTGACTGCATAGAACCTTGGTTAAAAATGGTGAGTGTTATGTCAACCTATATGAATAACATTGAAGGTTACTTTACTGACTCTAAAGGAAAAAATTACGCTGTACCCCGATGCATTGTTTATACAGAACCATTGCTAGAAGAAAGGTGAATAGCATTTCTGAGATAGCCAGAGGGTGTATAAAACTGCACTTTTCATTTTTGTAGTCTAGCACATTTCCTCTGGACAATAACTCAAGTTGTGCTGTGTTTTTGAAGAAGGGCACTTAATCAAGGGGCAGCAGGTATTCATTCCAGGCCAGAGGATTTTTCAGGTCAACATGACAACCTATTTTGTATAGTGTAGAGTGTAGTTTTTCCCTTCATGAAACTAAATATTAGGTTCAATTCAAAAGAACAGGTAATGTTCACATGATAACTCTGGAGGTGAACTTAAAGTGAGTTAACAGAAACTGTTCACCCATGTTGATGCTAGTACAGTATAGTAAGTCAATGATAAAAGTCTGTGAAAGTCTGCTTGTGATATCAAAACTGCCTAAGAAACTGGGTAGCACATAATTTACTATTTTGTTCAAGAGGTGGGTACTTATTTTTGGAGGTTGCTTATAATAATTATTATGGTATTAAGGTGTCTCACAGAAGACATTATTTGATTAGGTGAAAACGTTTTCTGAAAACAAAACTCATCACACTCTGTTTTCTTGCAGCATGACTCTTGTCCAGTTTGCCGTTTAAGTCTCAGTAGCACACAGACAAGAGGATCATGAAGCTGACAAGCAGTTTTATTATGACTTTTTGATTTCCTAATATTATTATAATGAGCACACTTTTGATTAGCGCTGCCCTACAAGTAATGAAAATTGGGTTAAAAATGAGAAGTTTTAAGTTATTAGTATGCAAGATCTACCATGTCACTTCTGAGAGTTGGTCGGTGTGAAATATTTGCAGCATTGTACTTCATGGTACAAGGCTAGACCAATCATTGTAAATCTTCAGTAGAGTATTAACTGGTTTACACCTTTGTAACAAGTGTAAATAAAAAATGTTCAATGATTAGAGTCATTATCTATTATCATTAAGATAGGATGACAGTGTAAAGACTTTTTAAATTTATTTTCCTTTTTTTTATTCAACCAAATGTGCCTAAAAGGATAAACACGAGTCTTTGTCTTTTCAACTGTTAATTAAGTACAGCTTGCAGGTATGACATTGCAAAATGAGGCAATAATCATGTTTTAATAGGAAGCTCATTTTACTAATTTACTTTATAATCAATTTTACGGCACAGTTCACTTCAAAATTCTTGTTATATGTCTTAAACCTGGGTGATTCAGGGAGTTTCTCTACTAACAACCAGCTGCATACTTCAAATCTTACTGGAACCAAAGCCTTGCATTTACAAGGAGATGTCCCTTAGACAACAATTCACACAAAAACTAATGCAGCCACTACTTGTGATATAACAAAAGAAGGATTCTTATGCTGAGGCTTTGGTGGTTCCTGTATCAGTACAGGATGGGGGTTTGATTAACAGTCAATTCGCATCTTTCCTACAAGTGAAATTTTCTCTAAAAAAAATCAGCCTGTATATGTCTCACTTCAGCAAACTGTTGCATCTACATGATGACCTTGTAACAAATGTGTGGGACACTGGAGAAGCATTTTTGCAACCTCAGCATAATTTTGTGATTTTAACAGTTTATGAACC